ATGCACGTATCTCGGCTTGGGCTAAACCTTTCGAGTTGATTAAAAAACCATTTGAAAGCGCGAATCTTGTTCTATAAGAAACCGTTCAACAGGGTACGTTTATTTGGAATGCTGGACCTCTGGAGGCGATGAACTGAGGGAAGGTCGTTTTAGCATCATGTTGGTTTTTGATGTATTTCTCTTCAAGGAAGCTATCGAGATCGTCAGAAGTTTGACAGTAGATAGTTCAAGGGTCTACTAAGTAAGATGTTCGCAGAACCACTCTGAAGTTCAGCTGGTACAACTTGTGAAGGGTTGGCCGTGCGATGTGCGTTCAAGACACCTTTCAGGGATGTGTGTGTTCCTTTATAATGAGGAATGCTGGACCCATGTCCTAGAGTTTTTGATGATTTTTGAATTAGTATAAAGATTGATTCTCCACTGTAACAGTTCCATCTGATACTGAAGAACATGGCCAGCCGCTGGCCCCATGAAAGCTGCCACAACCCTCCTAGCTAATAGCTTGGCTGTACAAACCATATACGCCCACGTTGGGCAGAACCTCCTCTATGGTCTTACGCACAAGTGCTTCAATCAGAACTTTTGGCTAATCGGAGACACCGTCCGATGTCCGACCACTACTCTCATCATATTCAAGGCTCTCGCCTTCCTTACAATAAATTTTTTAACTACTGCTTCTGAGCACATTTATTGCAAATCTAGGCCCAAAGCATCGTTGATATCTTGAACTGATCCCGCCACTTTCAGGTCTATTTAAAGCTAGAAAAAGAAAGTCATGCCAGCTTGCTCCTCGAGTATACTGAATTCAAAGCTTTGAAAAAGCTATAAGAAAATATTTTAGGATAAAGTTGTGCTGAGCATTGGATAGAGCTGGAAAAGTTCTTCAAAATGACATCAACATCAATTGCAGCTTTCCTAGATTTCAAGGGAAATAAAGCATCCAAAAGTGGAATGTCAGAAAACGACAGAACTTTCTGAAACACCTAATTATAACAGCTCAACTAATGGGGAGAAACATGCCTTTTGTGTAGTATGTTCTCTAGGGTCAAATGACGGCTGTTTTGGTGTTTTCATTCCAGTGTCACCGGTAAAAGCCGTAAAATTGTGGCAACGCCAAGACTGTTATCAACAATCAAGAGGCACTAAGTAGTTTGTTTACGCTAATAAGTAAGGGCTGATAGTAAGCAGCAACGTAATTGTATTGCTTATTCCAAGCCTAATCGACTGTGTCATTCTTAGGAAATTGAAGGATGTTTATGGGTATTGACCTATGAGAATTTACAGCATTATTACCAGCACTGTAATAACCGTTTTAATAACATCAGCAAACGCAATGAATCATTCGAAATTGCGGGCTGGTCCCGATCTCCCAGGAACAGTTCGGGTTCATGCCCGAAAGGTCTACTAACGGATGCCATCTTCATCGCGAGGCAAGTGATGGAAAAGTACCGAAAAGCGCCGACCCTGCTACCTAGCCTTCCTCGACCTGGAGAAGGCGTTCGACCGACTACCTCGAACAGTACTATGGAGAGCGCTCAGGGAGCGGAATGTGCCAGAACACCTGATCTCTCTGGTGAAGGACATGTACGACGGGGCGAAGGCAGCCATACGCACCCCACATGGCCTAATAAAAAAGCTGGTGCATCAAGGTCAGCATCTGAGCCAGGTTCCTTTCCTCGTACACACTAAAGTAATGGTGTGTGAAGGTTCTCATGGAAGGACCACTGAAGACCATCCTCTACGCTGACGACATCGCCCTGATAGCGGAAAGCAGAGAAGAACTACAGGGCAAGGTGCAGAAATGGCAGGAAGTGCTGGCAGAAGATGGGCTTCGGCTGAATGTCAGGAAGACCAAGTTCCTGAGCTCTGAAGAGGGATTGAGCCAATCGTAGACGGCCATGGAGAGATCATCGAAAGAGTGGAGGACTTCAGATACCTCGGGAGCGATCTGGCAGCCGACGGAAGTGTGGATCAGGCAGTGAAGGCACGAATCAACGCGGCCTGGATGAAGTGGAGGGAGTCCACTGGAATCCTCTGCGATCGAAGGTGCTCCAGAACGCTCAAAGGGAAGGTGTACCGAACAGTGGTCCTGCGATGCTCTATACGGCAGCGAGTGCTGGCCCTGAACAAGAACCACGAAAGGCAGCTTCACTCCGCTGAGATGAGGATGCTGAGGTGGGCCTGCGGCTGGACGCGGCTGGACAGGGTCAGAAACGAGGATGTCAGAGCGGTCATGCAGACTGCCCCTGTCCAGCTGAAGATGCGAGAGCAGCGCCTGCGATGGTATGGGCACGTGCTAAGGAGGCCACAGGATCCACCGAATAAGGAAAGCAATGGACTTCGAAGCGCAAGGCAAGCGACCGCGAGGTGCCCCAAAGAAGAGGTGGAAGGACGTAATCAAGAAGGACCTGTGAAATCACGGCCACAGCAGAAGATGCCCTAGACAGAGCGAAGTGGCGACGACTGATAAAGACAGCGGACCCTGCGACTGCGCGGGACTAACGCTAGGGAGAAGAAGAAGAAGAAGCACGACTGCAGTGTTATGCTTAATACAAGAGCCGCCTATGCGCAGTTTACCTAAAAAGCCCCACTTTGACATGCGCGCGGTAGCGAGCGGAGCCAAACTGCTACAATGAATAAGGGAACTTCACTAACTTCTATTCGCTTGAACAAGCACAGTACCCATCGGTAACGGTGTTCTAGTTTTAGGCCCGCTAGATGTTAACATGCTGCAAACGCGCATACCGTAGGATGCTTTCATCGCTTTGTTTTATCCAAGCAACGTGTCTAGTGCATGCCAGAGATTCATTGGCTAACGGAATTTAGTTTGTCTGCTTTATAGGGGTGATTCCTGCATTATCAAAAGCCAGATAAGAGATGGTGGAATAAGCGCGAGTGTTGTGTAGAAAATCATGTGGATTTTGCCAGGATGATTAATGAGGAAACAATTTTCCACTGATCTTCCCATATATCGCTCGATTGCTCCGAGAGGGTAGGACCTCAGCTTGTTGCAGTATCTGCACCTGAGGACCTTTTGGGACCGGTGACTGCCCGTTGCACGTTGTTATCCTATCGTGTCCTTTCTGACCACGTTCTTGCAAATAGATGCCTCTGGCTAACGCTGAGATTGGCGAAGGGCACAGCAACCGAGTCTTAGAATCTTGGTCCGAGACAGTAGCCTTAGACCCGGCTGCGGTGTGCTTTGGTTCAAACCATGGGCTCACTTCGGCTCCTGGCATTGCCTTCCTTCTGACGTGAGCCTAGCCATTGATTCGGTTGTCAATCATAGGTACCTTCATAGGTTAGGAAGTGAATTTTCAAAAGCTTTGTTTTTCTGTGGGGACCAACTTTTTCAGAGCTTCATGGCCAATTTCTTGGACTACACTCCTCAAAACGAAACCGACTGGGTCAATTTCCGCATGAGTTTCCCTGTGGTCGCAATTTTCTACACACCTTTATTTTAGGCGAATACGTTACAAGAGTTAACAATATATTCATACCTTGAAAGCGACAATGGATTACAATGACAATTTGTAGCTCATCATTGAATAACGCGTATCGTTTCGTGCAGCCCGCGAACCCAGCACTATTTCCTTTTCTTCTTCTTCACTTGAGGAGGAGTCCTCGTCCGTGGTTCTTCGAAATTCGGCAGTGACTGCAGTTCCACGTCTCTCGTGACCAGAGCGTCCATGTTCTGGCGAACCGTCGCTGTGACACACTACAACAAAAGATCAAAGGATTTGATCAAATGTAAGGATTTGGGACTTCTGTCTTACGTAAAGCTTGGCATTTTACGTTTGTGACGCTTTCTGTGAGCTCTCCCTCATGCAAACTGTTGGAGCATCTCTGCTCCCTTTTATTTGCTTCAAGAAGCATAGTCTTAGTACTACACAAAGTGTATGTACTCTTCCATCTACATTCTCACCCGTTAGTAAACGAAAGCCTTGTAACCAAGCATAAAGGTAATAGAGTTACGTCATAAAGTGAGTCCCCTACGCGAGAAAGATGGAAGGACCAGCAAGCATAGGCGTCCTATGGCCGTCGTAATACGAAGTACGCGCTGTCGTTACGGCGGCCTTTAGGTTTCTCAGGGGTCCCACTGAGCACAAGGGAACCTGGACTACATCGGCCAAACCCTCTCTCGCTCGTCTACATTCCCTCTCGCCTAGATTTCTTTTCTCTCTGCGAGGGTCTCACATTTCTCATCAACTATCAAGCATCGTTTTGTAACAGCTTGAGGTGTATCGTGGTGGGAACTCACAGTTTCACCGCCCACAAGCTGCAATTCCATGCCGTGTATGCTTGCATCCAAAGCATGATCTAAAATGTAAACGAATGGTCTCCAAGGAGGTCCGAGCCCAAATTCAGCCTAGTGGACGCACCTGCCGCATGTTGGCTCTTTTTCAGGGTCAGGTGTCCACATCTTCTCCTTGATCACCTCTGCAAGCTTGTTCATCATGTGTCCCGGGAATTCAGGTGTTTTGTTGTCGACAATCTGCCAGGAAGCGACTATGGCTACATGCAGTGCGAGAGAAGCGAAAAAGCGCTCACCAGCTGTTTTGCATTGATATTTGAAAGACCTTCGTAGGGCTCTTTCAAAGCAAAAATTTCATAAATCAGAATCTGAAAGTAACAAATCCGAAATCTGGAGTAATCATCGAAGTGCATAGGAATGGACGCCCAATGAACACCGGGGTTTTTTGTGGATGGAGGAAGGCACTATCGCAGAATGCGGGGGCGTTATGATGGCAATTTACTTAGAACCGTTGAAAACATCTCCTTTGCTTCGAAAACGGGACTAATCCTTAGCTTTAGAGTGTGAGCAATTTTGATTCATTTTCCAAAATTCCTGCCCCCTCTTAGGCTTTTTCTCGGCTTAGCCCCTTGGATGCCCCCACGCTTTGCGAAAGCACCGGGGGAACAATAACCAGCCCGAACCTCCCAAATACACGTGCGGGTGGGTGGAATGCAGATACTGCCGATTTTTACCTTTTGTGTTCAGATGAGGCTGACCATAAGGTCGAAAACTTGATCCTCTCAGCGACCCTTGCGCAATCAATAAGCATCAAAAGCGCTGCGGCTGTTCTCGCAGAACGGAAACTCTGAACACATCTCCCTAGCATGAGACGAGGAAGCGCATTGGAAACAAACCGTTGTACTCTGCTTTCTGTGGAAAGACGTTTCTGAAGTACGGATTCAGTGATACTATGACAGCGACTTAGGAGAAATCGTTATGACATAAGCTGTTTGGTGCTATTGGTACTATCTGATGTAATTCTGTAGTTACGACACTTATCGTCACAGGGAAAGAGGTATCTGAATAGTTTTTGCGGAGAAGATGTGCGCGTGGTAGCAAACTCACTCCATAAGTGTATACGTCGGATTTTTGCGAGTGCACGTAAGTTTCCAAAACTTCGGGAGCCATCCACCTTACGGGCATTTTTCTCGGCGTTTTCATTGTGTACGTGGTGCCCTTCTTGGATTTCTCAAAACCGCTCAGCTTCGCCTTAAAAGGGATTCTTTAGTTCGCCAACAATCAGGAAGTGATCGTTGAACTACCACTTTCTACTAGAAAGCGCCTATTTCGTTCTTCTTTTCTCTATATGTCTCTACTAGAAACCCGTTGAATTCCAGCTGAATTTTATATCAAATAGCTTACAAATTGTTTGTCGTAGAGGCAGTTCTTGGCGGCTATATCTCTGTGGAGTATCGAGTTCTGATGGAGGTATTCGAGTCCCCAACCGGCACTCATAACCATTAACAGCAGCTCGTCTCGTTTTATACTATCCCTATTATTTCGAAGCCACTCGTCAAGGGGACCTTCTGAAAAGCTGTCAATATTCATGGTCTAAACCTTACGTTTACTTTATGGTACACTCCAATATTGGTAAACTGAATTCCGCTGTGGCCACACATTCATACGCCAGCGAGAATAGCATCTATCTCATGTAGCTCGATTAAAAGCGGGTCATGAAATCTGGGATTCCAAACCGTTTCTCGTAGTTTTTCTTCATCCCTCTATCACTAACCACCTTGATCCCATGGACTGCTTTTTCATCGGGTACTTCAACTTTGAAGTTAGTCCTTACCGGACCATACGCTGCAACTAGCTCACCTTCGTCGTGAGAGGTAACACTTCACTTTTTTACCCCCTAGCAACTGGTCTCACGTGTAAGTTTCCCCGCTGTGCATTAAACACATAATAATCACTACGCCTTTGACAATGCCCATACTTTATTTGTAGCTTATTGTGATCACTGAATGAACCTATGGCGAATACAGTGCGTATCACAACATGGCGATGAAACGGAGAAGAGGGTGTAGGGACATGAGAGACGCAGACAGAGCGAGGCTATTAATAGAAGCGAATCTGACAGCGTTCAGACTATTTCTGAGCCACTTTATGGCAGCATTTTGCCTTCCCCTGCGCCTACACTCACTCCCATTCGCTTAACTATTCCAGGAATTGAATGGAATTGTACCTTTGAAACATTTATTCCATCATAACATGACATCGAATGTGTTTTGTTTCTTCTAGCTTTTCTATTCTTTTTTCATTTTGTTGGTATGAAACTATGGAGTGCCCCGAACTTGTCATTTCTTCCATCAAAACGCGATTCTCAACGCAATTCCTATGAACGGATCTTCATTGTCTTACCTGACACGTATTCGAAAACGAAACAGTTCGGTTGGGCGATGAGACAAACGCCAAAGTACTGCACAACGCAAGGATGGTAGAGCTCGTTCAGTAGTCGACATTGCGCCATTAATTCAAGCACTTTCTCTTTTGCTTCCGGCGAACGACCGGCTATCTGAACAATGTCATCTCACTTTTT